CCAAACTCAATTATTGTCTATATTGGGGGAACGAATGATGTTTCTAAATCCAATGAAATTGATATGAATTACGTAATTATTTATTATTTATATACACGTATACATGGTATGCATTTCGAGCCTTTTTTTTTTTAACATTTCACTATTATTTAGATTTCAATATTTGACACAAATACTGGAACTTGGACTTCTATGGTATATAAATAAATAAGACATTCTAGTATTTTCTTTTCCAATATATCTAATGTTGCTTTTTTAGATTGCTGATAATGATAATGTAACGATTCAAGCTCGTAGATTTCATACAGCTGTGTTAAGTATGTGGATATATTTTTTTTAGCATTAAATTAAAATATAATTAATGATTTACTTAATTTTATTAGTATCAGATGGATTAATAGTTATCTATGGTGGCGCTTCCAATAATAATTCTGAGATTCCAAAACCATCATTAGCCGTATTGGATACAAAGACTTACAAATGGTATAGCAAACAAAATAGTGGTGAAAACATTCCACCACCGCTCGCTTATCACACAGCTGCGCTAGTTGGTGATTATATGATAATAACATTTGGTAATTATATATCAACATATATATGTTCCTATAAAAAATAAAATATTCATTCTTATAAATATATATATTTTATATAATTTAGGAGCTGAATTTTCGGGAAAAAAATTTGATGAAGAGAATAATCTTAATGTCAATGTTTATATACTTGATACAAAAAGTTTTTTATGGGTTACTTCAACTTCTCAAAATGCTTCAAATTCAACACCTTCAAACGCGACATCTTCAAATGTGACACCTACAAATGTGACACCTTCAAACGCGATACCTTCAACTAATTCTACTTTAATTAAGAACACACCTGATATTAGATTGGTTGTTGGCCTTTCTAGTTCAGCCGGTGCCACTGTCCTTTTCGTCGCATGTTACTTTATTTATCAAAAATATAAATACGTAAAAGTTTGATTATAATCGATAGCAATTTTGAATCTCAATCGACTTTAAATTAACACACGATATCCATAAAGAAATCAAGTCTTGACTAATGTAGTTCAAATCGATTTAATGAAAGCTTCGTTAAAGTGTTTGCTTTTCCCCTTAATGGTTCAAAAATTGGCGATAAATTTATATTCACATAATATCTACCGTAAATTATCCCAACTAAGAGTTTTATCAATATGTAAAAGTCTATGTTAGGGTAGAAATTTACGCGGCGTTTAGATCATGTATCGATATAGCGGAATTTGAGATATCACATGCTTCAAACGATCTTACGTAATATATTAGATATATAAATATATACAGGACGTTTTTACCATCTCTGCTAAAATTAAATGTTTTGTTATAAATCTACATATCCGGGTGGGCAAAAATTTTTTTTGTTACTCACTAAATGACGTATTTTGGTTATCGTTGCATATATAAATTTACAGTGCCCGA